AGGAAGGCCCTGTTCGAGAAGCGGAAACGCATCAGCGACTACGCGCTCGTCATGGGCATGTTCGGCATTATCGTGATGGTCATCGAGAATGAACTGTCCAGCGCCGGAGTCTACACCAAGGTGAGTCGATGATCATTCTTCGTTTGCTTTAGTTATTGGGGCTCTTCCTGTTGGGTTTGGTGCAGGATGAAAGGTCGTTAACGTTTGGCCAGCTGTATCGCATTGTGGTAGATGATGTTTAATTATGTTGTAAGTTTTAACGATGATTAAATGGTTTACGGTTATCGAAATAGACAGATGATGCCTAATTTTCTTGTGAATTTTAACGAAGATTGAATGGTTTACGATTAACAAAGTTGATGGATGGTGCTTGATTTTCTTGCGAGTTTTAATTATGTAATGCTGTTTGAATGGTGTGAAATTATCGATATTGATAAACGATGCCTGAGCTCCTTCCAAATTTCATCGAAGATTAAATGCACTACGGTTATCAAAACTGATAAACGACATCTGATTTTTTAGCGAATTTTAATAAGTATTAAGTAGTTCGTATGGAAATTGAGGCTTCTGGGTGGAAATTGTTTCATAAAGACATAGTTTCATCAAGCATCGAATCATCGATCGACGAGTACGTGTTCCCTAGAAGTTATTTTGCAACCTAACTTCGTTTAAAAAAATGTAATCTCAATTAACCTTATAGAAGAAACGAAAATTAGATGCAACGATATTCTTAATCGAACTATGATCATTTGCATAAGAGCCTGTACTTTATCAGCACCAGGGAAACTTTAAAAGCGTTCAATTTTCTCGAATGCTTGCTATAATCCTACTATAAAAAACAGAGTCTGCTACGAACAGACCGTTTCCATTTCTATACTCCAGATTTTCGCGAGTGCAAGAAGACGAGCTCAGGTATGGGTTTTCTTGCCAACTTCTTAATCGATTCAGCCGGCCAACTTCGCGATCAGTTTCTCTCGTTAGCTGAGCGTTCAAAGCTGACGCGTTCCTTATGTAAATCCGCTCGGAACTTTTCAAAGTCACGCTCTCGTTATGGAATTAACGACTACGGCCATTTAGCGTATAATAAGACGCGCTTACGACTCAATGGCTATATTTTGACGCGACTACTATCTTCATTCTTTAATTTTCCGGTATACGACCCAAATGCGTAATTCTTTGTTGCGAACATGCTTATTTCGTCGCGTCATACACTGTTCAATTGTTTGTTGTATCACATTGATATTCACATTTTGTATCTGCATATTTCACACTTATTTTTATTCGCTTCTTCTTATCTGCGTATTCTTTAATCCTTGATATTTTTCTTTATCCTACTATCGTACGAAGAACATATCAACGTATAAAGCACTGTATTGACATTGAAGCAATCTTATAACGTCACATTTTTGAAGTGACCTTCGTGCAATTTTTATATTTTGCTGCTATAATGCTTTAGCATACGAAAAACATCTAGTGTAGGAAAAACATTTAGTAAATGACGAGAGATAAGCTGAGAAAACTTTTATGTTTTCTCATTACACGATTGTTAAATGCGCGTGACGATGAATTTTAATCTTACCTCTGAGTAGCTTATGTCCCAAGGGATGTATTAAACGTGTCTACCAGTAACGTTTCTAGTTTCTAGAAATGCGATGATCACGTGTTTTCCTAGCGGAACAACATAAGTACCCGTTTTAAGTGCCAAATCGCTAACTCTGAAGATGTTACTCCATTAAAAACGTAAATTAAGAAACTTCTTTTTGTGCTAAGAATTAATTTCATCTTTTTTTAAGTAGGAAATCTCCTCCAATTAAATTTCGTATTATAATTCTATAGAAAGAATAGCTGATTGAATATTCCTAGAAATGAAAGCGAGTGATTCGTTCATTTTATGTCACCGACATTGCTTTCCTTGGCAACGATGTAGCTTTTTCTTTTAATGGTCTCTTTTAAATGGTTCGATTCGAAGCTCGTCATTTTCCCGCTAATTCAAAGTTGCTCGCGTCTCGTTCAATTAACCTGCATTTTGCCCATCAACGGGCGCGGCGATTCGATAAACTGAATGTCTGCCACTTTGAAAGTGTTGCCAAAGCCGTTTAAGTCACCGTTCCCGCAATTAAATAACAATCTGATATGTTAATTAAATGTTACGAGTGAGCGTCGATAGACAGTTGCAGAGAATCCCAGAGAATATTCCATTCATGTTGCTTTATTTCTTATTCTACTTCACATTAATCGTAAAAATATTTCCTCGATTGTTTCTTGTATCGTATCTAAACGCATCGAACAATTTTCCTTAACAAACCAATTAATTACGTAGAAATATCCTATTAAAATCATAATTTCATAGATTGTTTATAAATTTTGCCATGAATTTTCTCAAGTAAAAATAAATCTCAACCTTTAGAAACTTGCAATATCTTAGGATCTTACGATATAGCCCATTGAAATTGCAATTTCATTATTAGAAATCAATTTTTTATTCTTAAAAAATCCGTATGATATATTTTCCCAACGATCAATAAAAAAATTCATACAACTATCGTAGACTCCTTTTCCCATCCCAAACATTACAATCTTCCAAATAATCCTTTATTTCGTCTGTATATGCAAAAATGAGATATACCTGAAACGCAATAAATCAGCTGTTCACAACAACTGAATAAATAGGATAGCGCGAGTCAATCCAATTTGGCATGAGTTATTGTGTTGTTTATTTTCCGAATTCTTTCGATCGCTCGAATCTTTCAGCCGGTTCAACGGAAACGTCAACGATGTCGCTGTTTTTCCAACCACCTACTCCATCCTCTCGCTAATCATCGGCCGTCGGAGTGGTTAAATCTAGCGTGAGCAAAGGAACACGGTTGACGACTGAATTACGCTGTTGACCGTGGCAATCTCTCTGAACTGGCGCCAAGAAGCAACGAATAGATTAACAATATTGGTAATGGAGTGGGAAGCTTGACTACAAGTAGGAAGGAAATATTCTGCTCTGTGTGTGTGTGTCTATGTGTGTCTCAGCTAGCTTGAGAAAGAAGGCCAGGAGGGTGCATTCGATTGCTCCCTTTCTTTCTGGCCTCGAATATGCTGGCGGGATTCTGGGCCAAACCATACATTTTAGGGGAGCTCTGGTCGACCGGAATCCCTTATATACGGTGTTCTATAAACTATGAAGCGGATTGCTGGTAGAAGCCTCTGATATTATAGAAGAAACGTTTAGAGTATAGTAATTTTGAATTGGTCGCAGGAATTGGATAAAGAAAAATGAAAATTAATTCTTTGTTTTACACATAGTAGAAGAATCTGAGAAATTTTTAATTTCTATTACGAAATGATATTTCACATATATAAAAAATGATAAATTTGTACATTCAGAATTTATATTTCTGCCATATAGAAATTTATAAATTTTGATCGTGCAACATTGTTTCCATGTAAAATTGTATTGTTATAATTTTATTATTTTGCTGTATTCATAAAATCTCATAAATTTTCACGTCACGTTACGTTACGTTACGTTACGTCCGATTGAATGAGAATTTAGTAACCGACAGTGAAATAGTATTCAATAGTTTAGTGAACAAATATTATCTGAAAGGTGTATTAATAATTCAGATCGATCTACGCGATAAAATTGATTTCGAGTAAACGAAGTCGGTAGACCTAAGATGGCTACATTCAATGTAAAGAACGTAAGGTATGTCAGCATTTACTTTTAGTACACCGATAACACACCCTGTATATGCGTTTCGCCTTTCAAGAAACTCACAGAGATATTTACGCTTGTTCGCCCTCGATTATCAGATTCGTCTGGAAACGTGCGTAACGCTTGGAAGAGTTCGAAAATTTACAGTAGCAGATACGTGCATCGACTTGCAAATACCGCGGATCACTGGAAATCCCTCGAAGAGGAAATTTCGAAAATCGAACATCCGGCACGAACATTGAGTGTCTCATTTTTTATGCATTGCTCTTCTAGATACGATGGATTCGTGTGACTATATATGCACATCATATTACTGCGTGTTTCATAAAATCTAAAAATTTAGAAAGACGTTAGATTAAAATTTCTTTTACTTTATAATAATTTCTATTAAAAAATGTATCGGAGTAAAGACAATTATTACAGATGTTTGTAATATTAATTTCAAATAAATAATGAAATTAGCAGCAAGTTTTACTAGTTCGATATTCTTTTAAACTGTCATTGCTAAGATATAATTTCTTAACGTGGAACGAAAATATGGAAGTGTCATTGTTGGCACGAGAAAGATAAGAAAAAGTGATGTAAGAAGATGTTTCACTTAGGAGAACCGCGAGTAAGATGAAATTGTAAAGAAATCCGTATTATTTTCAAACATTGAAATATCTATACTATCATAAAAAACCATCGTTACTAGAAGTTAACGCCATAAATACATTTGAATTTTAACCAATGAATTCCAGTTAGTAAATGGCAATTCACGAGAAGACAAATAAATCGCTATACATCACCTTTTTTCGAGAAGATCCCATGGGTTTAACGTTCCGGAAATTCGATCATGCGTCGTTGCTCGCCGATGTTCTGCTCTGATTACGGTTTTTTCCTTATTCGAACGTTGGAATCGTGATTGGTTGATTGTCTTCTACAAGTTTCTCGCGGCTGAGCACTGTCACAAAAAATAAATGGCGAGCACGTGGCAGAACCCGGAAATGAATATCTAGCCCTTGAAAAGCAGACGAGGAATTGCATTACATATTTCTCTTGTACCGTGGTATTGCGTTGAAATCGCGTGGAAAATTTGATTTTCGCGAGTTGTAAAATTACTGAGAGAAAGATCTGATTTATTATCAGATCTATTACAGACAAAGATATTTAATAATACGGATAATGTTACTGATAATTTCTAGTAATTGGCAATTAATGGCTAATGACTTTAAAAACGGATCGAATGGAGAGTTGCTCGTATCGTATAATAGTTTCCATGGAATCTGATATTGGTTCAAAGGTACAGATTTATATGATCAAATTCTGGAATTCGATACAAATGTTTCCTATACTATGAAGAGCTCGATAAACCGATACTTACTACGCTAATCGAAAATATCGATATTCAAATGTTGCGATAATACCTCTCCTT